AAAACCCAAATCTGAAAGCTTCCAGGTTTTCCAACCCAATTGAAAGACCCTGCCCCAACACCCACAAGTCTATCACATAGTCCAATCCTTCATTGCCACGAAGAAAGATTTCTCCCATCCACATCCGTCCAAGTGCAGGAGCAAAGCAACCTTGACTTTCTGAGAAAGAATATTATTATGGCTACACATCACCCATACTCTGTATAACACCCCCCCCCACTCCCATTTTCCCACAGTAGAAAGTGTGGCAGGCCTAAAATCCAAAAAGTAAAAGATGGCTTCCAGGTATATTTTATTTTCCAGGGTTTTTAAAAAAAATCTGGTTTGATTCATTCTCTATATCTGTTGTTTTTGCTATTTTATTGTTGTGAGTCACCCAGAGTCAGCTGGAGCTGAGCAGCATCCAAACAGAATAAATTTGTTTTTATAGCATGCCTGAATCAAAAGACTCTGGGCAGATTACTACTGTGCCAGAAACAGTTTAAGGTGCACTAGCTCTAAATGTCTCTCCCAAAATGGACACCTCCAACAATAAACTAGGGCAGGGGTTCCCAACGCCTGGGCCATGGACTGGCACTGGTGTGTCACAGCACCAGAAATGGGGCTGCACAAACAAGTGAAGTCCCATCTGTGGGATGCAGAAAGTGTGTGAAACCACGCCCCCTCTGGTCCACAGAAAAGCTTCTCTCCACAGAACCAGTAAAGAACTGATACATGTCCCAGGTACATAAAAGGTTGGGAGCTGCTGAACTAGAGGTAACAGTTGAATGGGACAGGGCCATAGGAGGGGGCTGCATATACCTCCAGGAATAGAAAGTTTAATGTACAGGGATACAATAGAAATGGACTCACATATGGTCCACATCTCCCTAATCCCCAGTGTGGAGGGACAGTTTGTGGCCATTTTAGGATGTTCTCAGTGGATGGGCAGATTCAAACCTTGTAAGGTAGTATAGATAGTCCCTGACTAACAACAGTTCATTTAATTAACTATTCTAAGTCACAACGGTACTGAAAAAATGACTTATTGCCATTTTTCATACTTACAACCATTGCAACATCCCCATGGGCACGTGATCAAAATTCGAATGCTTGCCAGCTGACTCGTATTTTTGACGGTTGCAGTGTCCCAGGGGTCATATTGCGACCTTCTGACAAGCGAAGTCAATGAGGAAGCCTGATTCACTTAACAATCATGTTATTAATATAACAGCAGCAGTGATTTGTTGAACAACCATGGCAAGAAAGGTTATAAATGGAGCAAAAGTCACTTAACAACTGTCTCACTTAGCAACAGAAATTTGGGACTCAAATGTGGTTCAGGACTACCTGTATCTGATGTACCTGGGTATAGAATTCAAGGATCTCTGCAAAATTTGCCATTTGAATTCATTGTTGTATGTTCTTATCCACATTTGAAATAAACATTGCTAACTTCCTTCAAGGGTTTTTAATGCAAGAGGGGAGCAAGTGCAACAAAAACAGCACAAAATTATGAACTACCTCATTGCCACATTACTTCCATCAATTACGATCGGCCTCAAGTTGTCAGAACTGTCCACAACATCCTCCTCCAGGGACAGCTCGGGGCTGGTCACCTCCTTGGCAGCTGTTCCACCCGTGGGAGCAGTGCTACTTCCCAGGCTAGCTGGCCCTTCATTCTCAGCCTTGTTGCCAAGCCTCACAAGTTCAGCCAAAATATCATTGATGAGAGCATCCACCCCCAACTTGTTCAACACGGCTTGAATCTGATCCCCCGCGTAGCCTAGTTTTAAAGCGAAATCAATTTTCGCTTGATATTCTTTGTCCGAGTTTGTTTTACCATCTTCCAGTTTTAAATCCTGAAGAAGGCTGTTCTGGGAGAAGCTGGGCTGGTCCAAGCAAGGAGAGCGGCAAAGCTGCCGGTGAAGCTTGTGGGGGGGAATGTCCTTCTCCCTAGGCAGGGGGTTGTGGGAGCTGTTCTTGACACAAGGCTCCTCATGTTCACTCTCGGAGCTTGTCCATTCTTCAGATTCGGTGCTGCAATCCCTGCCGTCTTGCTCAATAGTCCTCTCATCTTGGGAGTGCCTCTTCTCCATTCTCAGCCTTTCCACCATAGACCAGGCCGTCATCACGTTGACCTTCTGGTGAGATACCCTCAAATTGCTCTCAGTGCCAAAAGTGCTTGGAATGTATGCACCGCTGCATCATCTTGTGGCTTGCTTCTTAAATCAGTCTTGATTTGTGAAAGTCACAAAAACAATTGCACAACTTTTTGGCAGGGAGGGAAGAAAAATAAAAGGGGGAAAAACGAAATTAGTGACAAGTAGTAGTCTGCCACAATAAGAAAAGTAGATTAGGTCTCAAATCCAGATAAACTAAAAGAATTGCTCGTATGGAAAGGATTTGTGAGGGATGCAGAGTTAGAAGCCCATGTATGATTATCTCTGCTTGAGAAATCAATACTTCTTGGGACAATACTGTAACAGATCAGACAATGGGATCTAAAATTAGTTAAATGTAGGCCAGATTCACACCTCATATTATGATAAAGCAGAAGTGCATAAGTTTAGTAGCAGCAAAAGCCACACCAGTTTTTAAACAGCATATTTTATGCCATGCTACAAAAACTAGAAGCATTAAAAGTGGTTCCCTCAAATAAAAATTACAAGTTTTTCTTGTACACTTATACAGTTAATCCTCGACTTGCATCCATTCAATTAGTGGCTACTCAAAGTTACAATGAAAATGAAAACAGTGACTTACAACTGATCTTCACACTAATGAATGTTGCAGCATCCTCACAATCATGTGATCAAAAACCAGATGTTTGGCAACCAACACATTGATACAAAGGCTGCAGCATCTGGAGGCCATGCAATTGCCATTTCTGACCTTCCCAGCCAGTTTCCAACAAGCAAAATCAATGGGTGAAGCTGGGTTCACTTAATGACCACATGATTTACTAACAACTACAGTGATTCACTTAACAATTGTGGAAAAAAATGTCATAAAATTGGATGCAATTCATTCAACAATCAGTTTGCTCAACAGTGGAAATTATGATCCTAATTGTTGTAAGTCAAGGACTACCTGTACAGACACAAAAACTGACATCCACAGATTCAAAAGAGGGAAAATGAAACTTAGAAACACTGGAGCAGAATGGGACTTGTTACTGAGGGACAATAAAATCAATATAAGGAGTTGTGATGTGATGTACTACATGCACTCTCTGAGACATGCTGTCAATCAAGGCATTAAACCATGACTTCATTAGTTATCTTTTACTGAACAAATCATAATTGGCATGGTTCTGCAGCAGCAGATATGAGCAAATAATCAAATGAACTAAATAGTAGAAAAGTATCAGTAAGTTAGCATATTCTCCCACCCCTTCTTAAAATCCAGTTAATTTTTAACAATGTCAATAACATATTGGGACCAAACCCTCCTCCCTATATTTCATGTATCAGCTGAAGGTGTCCAAGCTGAAACTTACTGAAGGAGAAATGGATCATTGTTTTCTTGAACAGCTCCAAGAAACTGCTCAGCCAGTATTCAGCAGCTGCAAAAAGATAAAAATAAAAAGGAAATTATATGTTAGAGATCATTAGAAAAGGGATAAAAAACAAAACCATTAATACTCTAATACTTTTATACAAGTATACAGTATGACTACATGAAATACTATGTGTCGCTTTGTTTGTGGTAACTCAAATAAAATGTAGAGCAAGAAAGTTTTAGCTTCTCCTTTAATATTTAGCAATATTAAAGAAGAAATTCCTTCAAAGAAATATAAGGTTTTGATTTCAGGAAATAGATTATTAAGGTAGGCCACCACATGGAGATATGAGAAACAATGCACAATGTGGAAAAAGCAGAGATTTATCTCCATCCTCTGTAATATTAATATCAGGAGCCGTCAAATGGTACTTCTAGAAGAGTCAAGGTAACCAACCCAAAGCTAACCAATAGAATGACCATAATCTCTTATTTAAACTTTTTGAAAAATTATTAGACAAATTCATCTGAAATTATCAATGAGTACTAATCATTACCAGGGGTCTCCAAACTTGGCAACTTTTAAGACTTGTGGATTTTAACTCCCAGAATTCCTCATGCTGGCTGGGGAATTCTGGGAGTTGAAGTAAACAAGTCTTAAAGTTGCCAAAATGGGAGACTCCTGAATTATCCTATTACACAAGTATGGTATTGTGATTGGAAACTGGATTGAGAGACTCAGATTCAGGTTTCTGCACATGGAAATATGCTGGGTATGATTTTCCAGCCTAACGTTCCTTATAAGGAGTACTGTGAGATTTGCCCTGAACTCCAGGAGGTAACCTGAGATACCAATAGGACTGACTATATCATACAATAAATGTCAAAGGGAACTAGGTTATATTTAGCCTAATGAAGGCTGAGAAGACTCAGGGAGACCCAATAAGTCTTCTAATACTTAAGGGCCTGTAACGGAGAAGAGGGGATCGATTTATTCTCCGTAGCACCTGATAGCAGGACAAGGAGCAATGGGCTCACCAGAGGGAGATTCAACCTGGAAATAAGGAGGAACTTTTGACAGTGAAAGCAATTAATGACTGGAACAGCTTACATCCCAAAATTGTAGTGGTTCCATCACTGCAGATTTTAACAAAAAGGTTGGACAACCGTTTGTCCAGGATGGTATAAGGACTCCTGCCTTGAGTAGGGGGTTGGACTAAAATACCTCCAATGTCCCTTCCTGATCTATGAGTCTATGATTAAAAGTTCGGTATGTTTTAAATCATCACCTCCAGAAAAACATGAACAAAAAAATGATACTCAATTGTTATTTTACTTGTGGTCTTTAAAGAGAGAGCTGGCCATAAACTGATTAAACCTTTAATGACAGTTTCATAAAGAATTCAGCAAAAATGGAAAATGAACTCTACTAAATCTCTAGCATGTCACATTAACTGACATAAACCTCCTTTTGAAATTCTTCTGTCATTTGAAAGGCTTAATTCCTACCACTGTTCTCAAAGAAGTAAGCAATATCATGCCCTCCCAATGTGTTAAAAAGAATTCTCAAGCACCTAGGCTAGCACAAATCCTGGTGACTGATTCTGGAAGCTGTAATTCAAAATACGTAAAGGCATCAAATTGCTCACATGAAAGGACAACCTTTAGTGGCCAGCAGATACATCCCTCTTTTCCTTGGGGTGTGTTGTCATAGCTGGGAGCAATTTTCACATGCTGACTAGACTATCAGTTCATCCATCAATTGCCAGAGGTATATACTGCACTGTTCTCAGAGAACACCATCTGAAAAAGGAGAATATTTGTAGCTCAGGGTTGAGCTTGGATGTTTCCTTTCCCAAGCTAGGTAACATCATCAGTGATAGTAAGGAGTGGGGTTTGCTCTCAATTTATATTCTAGTGGTTTGTCCTGTCAGTGTGGATGGTTTTAGAGGTTCTTTGTTTGGGCTGTTTACTGTTAGCTTGTTTGGCAGTTCCTTGATTGGGGTATTGTTTACTTCTTGAGTGTTGTTCTAATGTTAATCTTGGTGTTATACCTTCCCTAGCCTATGACTTGTACGAGATGACCAGGCTGACTCTCAAGGGAGGGGCTGACTCTCACGTCATCAGTCTGGAGTCCTTTAGTTGCCCACAAGACCAACCCACCTTGAATTCCATTGACTCTTATCTACTGTCAATTTGCCTTGACTGTTAGTAGTTCAGATTTTTGCAGTGAGCTAGTTTGGAATGAATGTGAACTCATTTGAAAAAACTTGGTTCCTGTTATCTCGCATCTGACATGACTGCTTTCAAGCAGCCTACCAATCACATGACTGGTCTATTGATCTAGGATCAGGAAATCATATATGAAACCACAAACCTATCTTATGCATATATTACACACAGACTCAGAAGTAAATTCCACTGAATTCAATGGTAGGTATTCCTAGAACAAATATAGGACTGTGTCAAAAGTTGGAGAGTATAGAGTGCCTAAACGTATGAAGAATTTAAACTGGAATGAGGCAGAAAGAGACAGGAAGATGTTTTGTTATGCAAACACAGGTTATACATGAAATATCCCTCATTAATTAATTAATGATATTTTTCCTCAATTAAGAACTGTAATGTGTAAAAACCAATAGTATTTGCCGAGAACTTGTGCAATAGCCTGAAACCTTTTGATGTATGTAAGTTCATCAACTTCTCACCCCATAGCAGAGTGTTTAAAAATCCACTTTTTCCAGACTTTGAGGTCTGCTAAACAGTATTCTGGAAGGTTGAAATGTTAAATAGAAACTAAGAAGGCTTTCATCACAAATCTCCATATATGACCTGGAGGCAGTCTTTTGGGAAACTTCATTAGAAAGGAACTGCTGTTACAATGATTTAGGTATCCCGCCTCCCCCAAGAAAAATAGAGAAACTGGTATGTTTACTGAAATCTGTTTTGCAACCTGGGAATTATTTTGCAATGTGAAATCTGCTCACTTTAAAGTTATGATAGTCCACGTGCTTTCTGAAACCGAAAACTAAAGTTTAGGCCTTGTCTTGTACTCTAGCCCAACTATGCAAATCAAGGGGAATTCTCAGCTTAGAATTTCCATATGAGTTAAAAAAGGAATGGTCTCTCTTCCACCCTTTTTGCTTTTGTTTTACTTTAAGGGGTGGAGGGAAAGACACCAGTGTTGAAAATCCTCATTCTAACACAGATCAACAAGAAACCTAACATTTCAGCACTGAAATTTAGTATAAAAAATTAATAGTAACTACAGATGTTTTTTACTAGCAATTAAAGATCAAAACTGATTTACTGACATATAAGCGCAAACCAGTTCGAAGCATAAATCAACTATTCCCCCCCACAAAAAAACTGAGAAATGTTCTTTTGTTTTTCCCAATTATTAAGACTTATTTTGCTGCCCATTAACATCAAGGCCTAGCTATGGAAGTCACTGCCAACAATTGGAGGAATATGGAGCTCAGATCTTCAGCAGCAGAAAACAGAGGAGTACCTTGAGGATTAGCAAAAATGGAACAAACACTTAAGGGGAAAGAGTTAAAAATAAGGTGAGGAAAAATCTTCCACCTTCCCAGATAGTTCCAGAACATGTCCTCATAAAGTTGCCAATGGTCTGGAAATAGCATGAACTTGGACTGAATCCAAAAAAGATCATAAATATGACCTAAAACTAAAGGCACATCAGATTGTATTTTATAAACATGGAACTCCTGCCTAATTTGTTATGAAATCAATGAAAATAATTCTTTACTTTTGAAAAACAGTGAAGAGTTTGCTAAAGATATTTTAAAAAATAATAGTATTTGGTTTTGAACTTCTAAAAACAAAGCTTGCTTGTGGAGGGAGGAGCCACGTCGCGCCGACACATCGCATAGACCTGACAGTCGATGAAACTTTTGTCTTTCGATGGTCCGGTAGGACCTAAACCATCCCAAAGAGACGGCGACAGGGAAGCCAAAGCCTTGCTGGTCACAGGGACATCGCAAGGGTAGTGCTTCCAACTGAGGACAAACAGGTAGCCCCTAGGCTGGCATAGTCGGAGACCGCTCCTGAAGGAAGAGACGAAGTGAAAGCATTCCATCTGGTGAGGTTTTCTTTTTCTTTTTTTTTTTACTTTCAGAAGATACGTGCTAAGAAACTTTAAAAAAAATAAAATAACATCCAGTCCCCAAAGTAAGAATAAAGCGGCGTTTTTGACACTTATTGGACTGTTATTAGAAGATTTCCTGCTCTTGTTAGTAACGATGTTTTGTGGATTGAAGTAATTGCAACATTTCCTGTCTCCCTGCTTGTAGTCTATGGACTGATTTTTTTTCTTTCTATTTTTTTTCCCTTTTTACTACCCTTTTTTTTTTTTGTTGTTGGCTAAATTAAACTTATTTTCTTACTTCAACATATTTTTTCTTCTTCTACTGGTTAAAACAGCTAATTTATTGAATCTGCCACCTGGAAGCCAAAGTCTGAACTTTGTTTCTGTTTTGGTTACAATGTATCTTTTGTTCTGCTTCACTTGGTTTCATTGAACTTGCAATGGAAGGGTTTGGAAAAACTTAAAAAGCACGAAACTTGTTTTTGTTACTGCTTCTGGTAAATATTTTGGCAAGAGAAGGAAAAAGACAAGCAAGAATAAAAACCCTCCTATTTTAAAGAACCTTGAAAGAACTGGTGTTTAAGATTCAAAATAAATACGGACACATTTCCTAAAACTTTGACATGTTACAGTGGCAGATTCCTCTTCCAATTTTTTTTCCTTTACATCTCCTTGCATTTTGAAAAATGGATCAATAT